GGGCCCGGCGGGAGCCGCCTTCCCCCGGCCGCGCAGGGGCAGCTCCCGCCCGGGCGCGGGGCCGGGAAGGGGCGGGCGGCGGGGCTGCGGGGCTGGGGCCGCCGTGCGGGAGCGGCCGCTCGCCCCGGCCCCGCTGCCCGCACACGCATGCACAGAACACCCCGCGCTTCCCCGCCCCGAGAGGTACTCGGGAGCCGCGGGCACCCCCTGCCCCGCGCGGGCGGCGGGGGCGCGTTCGTTCTGCGCTGACACCCCCCCCCAACCATCGCCCTGCCCGTACAAAGGAAAACTCCAGCCGCATCCTATGGCATTAACCCCTAACTGAGCCGATATGTATGGAAATAATCAACGGGATGTGAAAGGATTTTGTTCTGCGCTGAGTCTTCGGGTCTGAAATTCAGTAGTGGGAATGGGTTTAAGAACACCAAAGTGTGTGGTTTAAATAGTCTTGAGTGCACGTTTGCTAAAGGATCAGGGGACAAGATCTAGAAAGAATAGGTACTGCAAGAAAACTGAGTGAAATCATGCTCCCACTAGTGTTAGTGGCAAAAGTCTCACTGTTCAGTGGCACTAGGTTGTCACCCTAGCAAGCTGTTTCGAACTTCACATTTTCAAATTATATGAAATACATTTACAGTCAGGCAGAAAGTAATTGCCTTTTCTAGTCTGTATTTTTTGCAGATTTATGCCACAAGCCCTATCCAGTTACAACAAAACCCACACAGACCAGTGCAACCCACAAGGAGACCTCTGTATTGTAGAGTTTGTGTTTCTATTTGATCTGACATGCTTCATGGAGAAAATAAATGCAAATCCCACATTGCACAAAGCTTATCTGAATATTCAGTAAAACATATTTTCAAATCAGGACGAAATAGACAAGTTATTACTTTGCAAGTTTTCAGCTTAGTGAATCAAGTTTTCGTGCCTTCAGACCACAGAGGGGACAGGCAGGACATCCATGACTCTGCTGCAATCTCTTCACAATTCATCCAGAGAGCATCAAACTCACAAGCAGACTGAGGCTGCCCCAGGAGGTATTTTCTCAGCCTTTGGAAAATATAAAAGAAAGCTGGGTTTACCAAGATGTCAAACAGCAGCCAGCACAGGACTCAGTGCCCAGGTCTCCCAAACAACGTTTCCTAATAAGCAGGTATGTCCTGCGTGAGCAGCTATTTCAGGATGGGTTTGGCACCAGGCCCAGGAAAACTGCTTTACAGTGATCTACCTAGAGGTTTCCAGGTACCCACGAGAGACTTGAAATCATGCAGATACTCAGTGGCCCAGGTAACATTCACTTCCTTTTTGCTGTACTTGCCAATGTGTACATTTGGGAGCACCCAACACTTGCATTCCTGGACAAAAGCACCCCAGGCTGCCGTCTGCGCAATCGATGGGAAGTACACTTCCTCCACTCTGCCGCTTGCTTAATTGCTAGTGTTGCTTCTCAAATCCTGTAATCATCATTTTGAACTTGCACAATCTCAGCCAAATGATTCTCATCCAGTCCTCCATCTCGGTCAGACAATGGACGCCCAATTAGTCTGCACTAAATATTTAGAGAAAATGAAGATACAGAACTGGCAAACTGAAATGCTCACCTCGGCTCTCTCCACAGCAGCCTGGCTGGTCGCACGGCCAGGGAGTCACATAGCAGCAGGAGTGGGACCTCGTAAAACCTAACAGGAGTCCCACAGCAATATGACTCTGTGGAATCACCCATAGGGGCGTAGGACTGTTGGTTTAATCCACAGAACATGTACTGTGTTTTTCACCCTTTGCAGATGTCATTTTCCAGCCAGCAGCGCGATAAGGAGGGGGCAACTATGAGGAGAATATACACACCAAATTCCTGGAAATTGATTTATTCTCTTAAACTTTTCTGTCTTTCAGCAGCTTAGAGCCTCTGTTCGGTGTCAACTATATCAGCACAATGGATACCTTACCAGGAATCACATCCTTCTTTCAAATAGATTAACAATCTGTTCTGTGTAATATGCGTACATTTTTCAGCAATACAAATATAAAAAGTGTTAAAATAATTACCTACCTGTAACAAATATTTCAAGTATCTTTATTTTCCCTAACTTCTTTCATAAGCTAGTAAAAATAAACAAGTATGAGCTGTTAAAAGGAAACTCATCATCTGGCATATTTAAAATACATTTTTCCCCTCATTCTTTGCTATAAAGTTGTTAGGAAATGAAAAACAGTACCATCTAGTACATTAATTTTTTTCATTTTAGGTATTAAAATTTTGCTTTTTAGGATTTCTGTAAGATTTCTATATGTATATGAGGCTGAGAACTAATTGAGAGGAAGAAATGTAACTAGATTATCCTTAGAAATAAGGCCTGTTCCAAATAATTCAGGTCAGTAATGGAGGAGAGTGTGTAGCGGAGAAGGTCTAATAAACGATGGGAAGCCTATGATGACACAAGTGTAGTGAAACTCCATAGATGACTGTGCAGCTAAACATTTTTTGGAAGCAATTCCTGGGGTATACAGACTTCACAAGTAAGACATGGAGTGGGACCATGAAGGAGAATCACGAAGTCCTTCATCTGAGTTACCAACAGCAGAGAAAATAGAAGAGAAAGGGATGGAGCCAGGCCTCAGTATAAGCAGCAAAAGACCTGTCTGGTCTATGGAACTAGGGAATAAATGGTGTTAATTGTGTAATCAACACATTTTGAAAAGATAGATCTGACCATGTCTATTATTAACGTCTCTGAATTTAACCCTGACATTTACATAATCTAGTTATTTTCATCAACTTGCTGCCACTCTGTGTTGTGAGTACACTCCAGCAGTTCTCTGTCCACATCCTCCTGTTCACCCTGTCAGATAAGCCACTGGGTTGCTGTGCATCACTAGAGGGTGGTCATGCATCTCACTACAAAGGTGGACATCTTCCCATGTTGGGTGAAATGACTTCATGGAAGTAGCCAATACTGAGGAAACATCCTTAAAAATGCCAAGTCACAGTCAAAGCTGAAAGTGATGTATGAAAACCACTCAAATGAGCCCCACAAAGTCCATCAGAGTACTAATTTTTTAGGCATCCCTGTCTGTGAAAGATTGGAGCCATGGTTTATGGTTCTCTAAAGGAACTTTTAGACTTACAAGGGATGTTAAGTCTTTAGGAAAGTCAATGAAAAGGGCGATGTCATCTGAATGCCCTGTTTGCAGCATATCGTCTTTCAGACCAATCAATCTCTCATCCTCGAGCAGAGCTGTCCCTAAGCAGCAGAAGGTTACACCCGAGTGGACATAGCACAAGTCTGGTTTTTAGTCTGAATGATTTACTGTTGTCATAAATGATGAGAAATTTACAGCTTATGAATCCAATCATTACAGTTTTGCTTCCCTACTCAAGATTATGGGTAACGCAGAGAATGTGTCTCTATCCCAGCTAATACAGAGGAAACAAATCACATATTTCTAATGTGCCAGAAATGGATAGGCAATTTGATAGCTGTAGATCCAATTCCTTCTGAATGTCAGTTTCCACTCTATTCCCCAAAATTTTATAATCATTTACAAGAGCACTGGTACTAATTTTCTCTCAAGTCAACGGGTCACGGCTGTGTGCTTGCTTTCCTCATGTGTTTCAAGAACATGGTGATACCTCTGAGCAAAGGCATGCACTATATGACATCAGAATAACACAGGATGACACATTTCAGGTCATCTGCTGCAGTCATTTGAATGTTAGAGCGCACTGTCTCTTTACTATCCCTGTAGCAGTTCTCTTCTCTGAATGGGGGTGAATGTTGCAAACAGGGGAAATATCACTTATTCTCTTCAGGGATCAACCTGAAGAGTCCACTACATGGAAAGTTCCTACACAAGTCTCTTTAACTGTCTCATTCTGTTATGCTGTTGCAGCTTGTGATCCTTTATTAACATTTCCTTCCTTTTTGCATGGATGTAACTGAGGTGGGAGTTTTCAGTTGACTAAAGCAAAATAGTGGCATCAGGACCAAAACAAGAGCCCATTGCTGAAAAAAAGATACAATGTTTTAAAAATGAATTTGCACTAGCCACTGGAAAGTGTCACAATCACTACTCCATGTGCTTTTTCTAAATAACTGTAGTGCAGGAGCTTTAAAATGGTCAAAGAAAATACATCAGTGGAAACCTTTTCTCTGAAAAGGCAGCTCCTTCGAGAAGAATACCTTTTGAAATCATGTCATTTCCATGAAAGTGTTTTAAGAACGGCATAAAAATGTTCTGGCAGCTTCAAAGTATACATTTTTTATTTTTTTCAGAGCAAAACATTTTAATTTCTAAATCACTATGGTTTTAATTTAAATTAGCATAGCGTTCAAATACAGTGTAGCATAAATGAAAAGGTGCCATCGTTAAACATTTCAATCAGCTTCATTTTTCTTCCAGAAGTTTGGGGGATTTTTAAGGAATTTTTAAGGGTTTCAAGATTTTCCAGATTGAATTCCTAATTAGAACAAAGATAAATCTCAAAAATATTCGTAAAAGTGAAATTTTATCCTCTTCATAGTATATGTCCTCCCTCATACTCATGGCTAAATTATGGTAAGATAGCATAGCATAGAATCATAGAATAATTTAGGTTGGAAAAGAACTCTAGGATCAAGACCAATTGTTAATCTAGAACTGCCAAGTCCACCATAAATCATGTCCCTGAGTGCCCCATCTACATGCCTTTTAAATACTTCTAGGGATGGTGACTCCACCACTTACCTGGGCATCCTGTTCCAGTGCTCGGCAACCCTTTCGGTGAAGTAATTTTTCCTAATATCCAATCTAAACCTCCCCTAGTGTGACCTGAGGCCATTTCCTCTTGTCCTATCACTTGTTACCTGGGTGAGGAGATTCACACCCACCTCTCTACAACTTCGTTTTGGGTAGTTGTAGAGAGCATTAGGGTACCCTCTGAGTCTCCTTTTCTCTGCACTAAACAACCCCACATCCCTCAGCTGATGGTCGTACAACCTGTGCTTCAGACCCTTCACCAGCTCCATTGCCTTTCTCTGGACATGCTCCAGCATCTCCATATCTTTCTTGTAGTGAGGGACCCAAAACTGGTCACAGTACTCGAGGTGTGGCCTCACCAGTGCACCAGTACAGAGGGATGATTCACTGCCCTAGTCCTGCTGGCCACACTATTTCTGATACAAGCCAGGATTCAACATCATCCTCCAAGTACAACTGCTTAATAAGTGCCATCCACTTCAGAGTTGTGATTCTTTTAGATATACATTCCAAGAATACGTATGATTTTGCAATGCTGTATCACTGCACAATTATTAATATTCTTTCTACTGTATCACAATAGTCTTGTGTCCTCAATTAAGGTGAATATTTGATTTGAATAGGAACTGCTCAAATATAGAGGGGGAAACAGTTTGTCTTCTGCAAATTTTATGGTTCCATCTCCGAAGAAATTCAAAGACTGTACAACACATAAAAAAGAGAGCAAGTTACTGAAGTCGGGGTTCAAATTGACAGGATCAAGCTGATACAAACCACGGGGTCATACCCTTCTTTCCAGGTTTCTCTGTCCTAAGAAATAGCTGTGAATTTGATTGATTTCCCCCAAATACATTTCTTAAGATGTAACTTAATCTTTTTCTTTTTCTCTAGGGTTATTTATCCCATGCTGACACTTGTAATATCTCCCAAATTAGTGTTTGCTGCCAAATTCATTAGCATGCTGTTTGCCAGTTCCTCTTAGGACTACTTCACTACAGTTGGAAAAGAAGATTCCTTAGGAAGAAAGGAAGGAAAAAAGAGAGGGAAAGCTAGAGCAGGGTGGAGGATGCTGCAGGAAATGGAGGCAGATGGAAGAATGAGGAAATTATGAATAGAAAAGTAGAGGTAGAAGAGATAATAAGAAAAAGAAAAAAAAGAAACAGCCAACCAGAAAAGGAACAGAAATGTCTGGCTCAGTTAACCTCTGAGAGGGTACTTAATTTCAAATATGAGAAGTCCACAGACCCAGGCCCATGCCTAAAATTAAGCTTGTGTTTTATTCAGGCCAACATAACATTCAATTTTCTACACAAGGATTTAAAGCACCAGAGGGAATCCACTGGAAACTTGGTGAGATTAGGGCACCTGCCTCCCACAGGTTTCTTGACAAATCTCGGATTCCAAGATATAATATTAAAATATAAAAGAAATTACATCAGAGCTCTTTTAGTATTATTTCATATTCAGTGAAGGAACCTGACAGAATTAAATTTCTACTCAGCTATTTAGCACTGGGCTAAGTGTCAAGAAGAAGCAATTCTTTTTCTAAGGCCAACTTGGTGACAATTCCTTGCAGTTCACCAGACATTTTCTTGGAAATAAAATCTGTATCATGGTGAGGCTTTTTGTACAGCTAGAGTCACCACCATTCCCAGGCACAGAAGAGAGGACTAAGCACTTAACATCCCCAGTTGATGTCACCTCTATGGCTCTATATGTTACCACAGCATCAGAACAGCCCCTTCTGGGTGCTAAGATATGTACACCTCTGACTTGTGCCAGCGCTCAAGACTGTATAGTCTGCTGTGGCTGTTACATACCACACTGTACCAAAAGGAGAATGAAATAAAATCTTAAACCTTGACTCACTGCCAGCAACCAGAAGAGGTATTGTTACGTGAATGGGGCAGGATTTGCAGAGGGAATACTGGCTCCTTCCTGTACTTTGGAAGGAAACTAATCCCCAGAAATATCTAGTTCTGGAAAGTTAAAATTGAGCCTCTTTGTACCTTACAAGTCATCTTCCAGTTCTACTGGCCTTCTGAAACTTAATGGCATTGCATGATGAATCTGTAAGGTAACAGGTTTCCCATTTTGTTCTTTGCTGCACTCCAGACTTCCAGAGGGCACCAGGGTCACTGCCATGTTGTGCCTCAGATTGCTGCTTGTGATTATCCCAGATGTAACTGTTGGAGGGCAAAATTAAAGCTTTAGCAGTCTTTCATTTCAGATAAATTAAAGCGATCTTTGAGGACCAAAAAAAGGCCAAAAGCTATAACCCTTCAACTAAACTAAATTGTGCCTGAGCCTATCTCATGACGCTGGGACCAGCAGGCACAACCTGGCCTTGAACTTGACACTGATGTCGCATACCTTTTAAGAGCGGTGCCTTGTTAAAACTGACTCCGGCCTGGCATTGGAAGAGTTTCCTTGGGAGAGTAACAGTGTTGCTCCACCCAAAACTACGCCCAAAAATGGTCTAGGGATGTCACAGTGCTGAGTCTTAGTATTCAACAACATACCCTGGCTTTGTTTAATTTACTAAGATAGATGTCATCACTGCAAGGTCTATCTGTTCCAAATATCATTTTTATTGAGCTGCACTAAGTCAAATAGAACTTATTTTTCTTGGTTCTTTTTAGTATTTATTAATAATTAATTCTGGTAAATCTGGTAATATTTTCCTCTGTGCAAAAAGCAACTAAACAACCAACGAATCCTCCAGCTCTAGATTTATATGCATGAAAAAATACCTTTTTAAATTCCATTTATTACAAATGAATCCGTGCCTAAAACTGACCTCTGGATTTTCCCCAACCTTTGATGAAGTCTGGATTTAGGTTTGAATTTTCATTAAGTCTGGAATCCTTTCATCAGTTTCTTTGAATCTGATTCTTGATCTGCTTGTTATACAGAAGCAAGCCCCTAAACTAGTTAATCTTCTGTACACCAGTAAGATTCAATGGTAAAGCCAAATGCTGAAACAAGCATCTTTTTTGATTTAAGAATGTTTCACAAAGAAATATGTAACCACATTTTAACCCATGACAGTTATCTGCTTCCTAGTGAAAAAAAGTCTAGCATCATATGGAGGAATGGTAGTGGATGGGATACCAGGAAATGGGGGTGAAGAACGAGAGAAGTGAATGAGGAGGTGGGTAACTCCTCAATACCCCCCCTCAGTCCTGCTCTAGGACCTGAACTCACCTTGCATTGGGATGGAAAGTATAGGTCCTTCTTTGGTTGTTTTTTTCAGCAACTTGTCATGTCATCTGGCATGTGGAGAATGCTGGAGGAGATTCAAAAACAGACCTCAGGACAGAAATCCAGACTTGGAGAATCCAGCATGGGCTGTAAGCAGCTCACTGTGCTGGATGAGAAACTCCTTAAATGCTAACAGCTTCTAAAAAGCTAATGGTTTAATAGGGCTGGAAGAGAAGAGTGTGCTGGCAATTTTCTCAGATGTGGTTATGTATATCCTGTTGGGAAATGGACGGAAGGGAGAAGAGACCCATCACTTTCTTCTTAGGTGTTTATTGTAATCAACGTGGAACCAGATAACTTCTCATGCCAAAGATTTTAGTGGGTGGTGACAACCTCCTTCCATATAACAATAGAGAGAACAGGGCTTCAGAGTCACAGTGCTCTGTTTATTTCATTTAGGTAGTGCCGTTGTTGCAATAGTAACTACAAGCACCTGAAGAACCTCTAAGATCTACAAAAATATGTCCTTATTAAAAACATTACTTTGCTGGAAAGCTTTGCTAACATATGGTTAAGACTGTTCACTTGCTTCCATAAGGTCGATCTCAGCGTAATTCAAACCTCTGAGAAAGCAGGAAATGCAGACAATAATAAAGCAATAGTCACTTCAACCTTTATGGCAATGCTCAATACACATTTAATGGAAATAATTCACCTTTTCAGTGAGTGACTTTCAGAGAACATAGTATGTAACTAACTCTTGCACAAGCACACCTTCTCTTTGGAAAAGTGGACTGTATTCAAAGTGACACTTCCTTTTACATGCATGCTCTGACCCAATTTCCTAGAAACAACCATAATAATTAAATTTTATCTTTCCCCCTACTCACCAGATAACAATATTTAGTCACACATATATTATTAAGCCCACAGAATATTTTCCCTACTTTACTTTGCACAAGTGCCAGTGGCTAAAACAACTCTGTTTCCCAGTACTGATTCAGGGTACAGAACTTGGTCATGAAAAGAGGCATGCAGCTATCTCAGGGTATACATATATATGTATGTATATTCTTTTGATGTTACTCACAGGAGTGATGAGCACTGTGGGCCTGAGGCCCCATCTGAAGGTGTGGCCTCCCATCTTTCCTGCTATTATAGTTTACTAAGTCTTCCACCATTTGACACAGCAATAATCAGCTCAGCAAATACTGCCAGTTCCCTCTTTCCACTGCCAGCTCCCAGGAGGGAAAAATAAAGGTTGCCTGAACGTTGACCTAAACTCTCTATTTCCTGGCTTCAAAAAGTCAGAATTTTGCTGAGGCTGATATTTTATAAGAGCTCCCACTACTGCCAGGAAAACTAACTCTGCATTAATTAAGGGGGTTTGTCAGTTAGTAAGAAGGAAAGATGCTTTAAAGACCTGAAATTCACTCTTTCCTTGGTCCTTAAAATATAATTGAGAGAGCATCTTTGCAATGTGTCGATCTGTGATTCACAATGAGAAAAAAATTCTGAAGATACAGGAGTCCTGAAGTTTCTAGTAAAGGCAAGATGCACTGGTAGACTGGGTTGGGTTTTTTCCTGTATGTAAGGGGTTGGTTGGTTTTGAACATTTTCCTGCTGACTGGCTCTTTTATACCAGTGGTAGTGTTCACCACCATTTTGCTATTTTCTTTATTGCTCTCATGGGTTCTGTTTTTAATGACACTCAGAAAATGCTGAGCTAAGGATAAGCTGGCTTCTTTAGCAGATATGTGCAAAGGAACCAACTTTTTAAAATGTATGTATAACTGTTTGAAGCTGCAAACACTGCACCAGTTTTCAACTGAGCTCAGCTCCTATCTCTTTGGGGAAAAAAGAGGAAAAAAGTTACCACAAAATACTCAGTGGATCTCACTGTCACATTTTACAGCTGGATTTTCAAAAGTACCTGAGTGGGCTCTTTGTGTGGTACATGAATACCTTTTAAAACTTGGATTCAAGCTGCACATGGATGAAAGACAGACTGAAGCTGAAGTTTTGACCTAGGACTACAGGTAATCTATTCCTTTAGTTCAAGTTCTGTCAAAACTCAGCCATGAACTCGTTGCTTAATTTTTCAGTTCTACAGCTCTGTAATAGGATGTAGCATGACAGCAATGTTGGCAGGACATTAGAGCTTGAAGGATCAGTGATGTCAGTGGAAACAGGGGATGCACACCTCTCACCCCCTCCATCTTGTGATGTAAACTACATACCAGAGTTGTCTCTTAAAGGTGACTGCAACTTCTTGACCTTCCATTTCCATAACCTGAAAAGTCTCCTTCCAGGATGGATGGGAAATTCTCTGGTGACAAAGGCAAAGAAAAAATGTTTTAAGGGTCAATTCAAGCATTTCAAATGAATTTTTTAAAGAATAGCATGAATAAATGCTTTCCATTGGACAACTGGTATACCAGCTTAGGGATGATGAAACACCTGAGCAGTTCACATATTTGTGAATACGCATGAGTGCACTGCTACCAAACTCACTGCTCCTTCCACCCCTTAAACCATCATCAGAAAGTGGCAGTTGATGCCGGACAACAACAAGAGCTCAAGAAGATCGAACTGATGTAGACTTTGGCTTATAGTAATAGATTTTGAAAAGAATTCAGCAGTGGCATGTCATGCCAGTTGCATCAGCTCTTGTGATGATTGAATTTGGTCAGTGGATGAATTCAAACAAAGCAAATCTTGCTTTGGAAATAAATTTTACATAGCCTTTGTGCAGCTGAGCAGTGCAGGAGAGAAACAAAAAGTTTTCAGGCACAGACAACTCCAACACTCTTCCTGAGGAAGATTTCTGTGTCAACCAGTGATTAAGTGGGACTGAAGCCATGCAAAATATTTCAGAGAGCTGTTTCTTACCAGATGAAAATGGGCTTGCTTTTGAATTCACAAATTCTTAAATGAAACTGGACTTCTCATTTCTCACATATTCCAATTTATGCTCCCAGAAATAAGTAATATGATCATCCATTCACTAGAATGACTGTCAAAATGCTGGGACTAATGGTTTTAAATATTTTTAATTTCAAGCTTGGAGAGTTGTTCTAGATTTGTATGTTGGCTTCGGACAAACCCCAGTTCCCTTACTCGCCATCCTGCTTCATGTTACCAAAAAAAGACAGTAGAAAAGTCTACTTAATATTTTGAGACGGGGAATTGCATTCTTTGTGTTGTCCTCTAGCTGGAAACAAAAAAGACCTTGCTGCTTCCTGTGTGTGGATGTCCAGTATCTTACTAATCACAAGAAATCCAGAGAGACAGACATAGGGACATAAGCATTTGCAGAAACGATTGCACATAGTAAAGACATCAGATGAAAGCAATATTGTTTGCTTTACCCCAACACAGTAAAAATGCTGTGTTTATGAATGACCTTAATTATTAAGGACCTTACAGAGTACTCCAAAATCAGAGACAACATCAATGGAGTTAAACATCTGAAGTCCTTTCCTGGCAGTAGAGCTGGATGCAGTATAGTTATGTGGAAATCAGTTTTGTGTGTTTTCATGCAGTGGTGCTGCATTAATACAAGGACTACAAAATACTGCTATCTCCATTAATTTACTTCTCTTGTAGCCACGATGAATCAGTCCTGTTTGCTAGGTCATGCCTTTTTCAAATGGTAATCTGCAGTAACCAAAATACCTTCCATCTGATTTGCATCACCTACACAAACATGGGCTCACCTCTGACAGCTTCCAGGGTAGGAGCTTGATACCCCCATCCTTTCAAAAGGGGACAGAAAAGAGTTAAGTGCAATAATCAGAACCATCAGAGGAGCGCTTATGCTAATGGCAGCTTTGATGCAAGTGCCCTGCCACCTGTGTGACTGACTGCAGGATGCCAGCCTTTGCTCTGCTAGGGTATGCCTAGGAACATTTTAATGGGAAGTGGCCTGGTTTTTAAAAAGCCATAATTAGAGGGGAAAATTTTATTTAAAAAGATGCAACCATGTTACAGAATATCCACGTAAACGGAGAAAAACATTTCCAAATGTGATTCAGTCTGTATATGTGTGTTTTTCCTCTACATGCACAGCAAGCTCTTTTTTGCAAGAATGATATTTTTGTACCATATTGTTTTTATTAAGATCTGAGAGAGGTTTATTTTGCCTCAAAATCTGTGCTCTGGAGTAATTTCCAAAGTCCTAACTTTGGTTTCATTGAAACTTTTGCCCTCCAGATTTTGAAGAAAATGTGGAAAGCTGAATTGTAAACTTTCACACACCAGAGAAATTTTCATCAGGTCTGGTCGTGGAAGTTTGAGGCTTGACACTCAGTTTCTGATTGTTGGATTTAGCAGTACTATTAGCCTCAAGACTAGAAGGCTTAAAAACATTGGCTTAATGCTCATATAAGGGTTTGAGCAGGATGTTTTCCTTTATTCTTCCTTCCCCACCCCTATGTTAGTACCAAATTACATACACTGCTTCAGATTTCCAACATTTCCCAATCTGGATTAATTTACATTTGGAGAGAGGGTGTGAATTAAACTGTTATAAAAGGCTTAGATGCAGTGCCAACTTGTTACTATGCTCTTTCAAGCATCAAATGCTTTTTCTATTAAGGAAGCTCTCAGAGAATTTCTTGCATCTGGAAATCTCTCTCATAGCACAGCTTATTTATCAAATGCAAAGTATGACATATACAAACGAAGGCATTCATAGTAACATGTCTCATGGAGACCCTGATATAGTTGGAGGAGCTATCTTACTATGGCCTACAATATGATGTTGCCTTCTTCAAGGAGATTTCAGTCTGAGAAAAACCTAGCTTCTGCAGGGATGGGGAATGCAAGGGAAGAGTTGGAAGCAACAAGGAGACAAGCAAAGAACAGAGTGCAAACTTACAGCTGGTGCTCAGAACTCACAGCCTTCAGCCTGAACTGCACTTAACAGTCCAAAGTGAGAAGCTGGGCTGATAGCACTTCTTAATTCATTAAATACTGTGGGGATGACTTCAGCTTCTATGCTACTTTTTACATGCTCCCTACTAGACAACTATACCTAGGAGTGAATACGAAGCCTACACTTCTTTTCTTCTGGTCTTTTTTCTTGAATTTTCTTGTTATGTCAAGTATGTACAGACGTACAATTCCATTTTCTCCCAAAGGAGGTGATATAATTTCTGGCCCCAGTTGGTTGTAGACATCACATTCATAGCACACATTTTAATTAAAACACTAAAGCACTGGATGAGGCCGATTCAAATTTGAGTATGTAAAGGATGGTCTCATTCTCACCGTTACTGATACAGAGCTGGGTTAGTCACTAAGGATTTTGCTAGCAAATTGAATTAAAGGTCCAAGTAACTTCTCCCTTGCCAGCATTCACAGAAATCTCTCCCATATATATTATCTTAATCAACTAGCCTCTGCTAATTTTTGTAGGCTCTGTAAAAATTATTTGTGGATCACAAATTTCCCAGTGATTGCAATTTCTATCCTGATGCATTATTGGCCAACACAACCTTAACATACTTTAGTATGTTCATCTTGTGATCTTTAGCTTGCCTTATCATTCTGCTCACTGCCACCTGAGTAGATGTCCTTCTTCAAGCTAGCAAATATGGGAAGGAACTTAGACCTGAGTATCTAGTTTCCCTCTAATGGGCCTGTAGAAGCAGAAGGGATTCAAAGCTTTAAGGAGAATAGTTGGTGAACTTTTTTCTCCTCTGTTCACCTTTACCAATGAACAGTCTTAGATGTTCTGCATTCCTCCTCTACCAGATTTTTTTAGGGGTATATGATGGGTATTGTAGGGTAGCTGCAGAGTACAGTTCATCTCCCACATCACCAGTACCAGTGTCAAATGCTGCCAGCAAAGGTCTTAGTTCTTCTTCCCACCAGTTCAATAGCTTGCTTCCTTTTCTCTCTGGTTCTCTGCTGAGTGGGGAGAGAGTACTGCATCAGCTTATAACTCATCAAATGTGACTAATAGTTTTATGGTGCTTAACATATGAGATAAATGTGAACTGATGTGAACTGAAAAGTGAGGAAATTGCCAGGCAGCACGTTTCAAACCATCAGAAAACAATTGCTTTAACGTGGTACTTAATACTGTTGTGACTCATAGCCATCAGTTGTAGCAGCAAAAATGGATAAATGTACTTTAAAAAGATTGGAAAGATTTGTGGAGGATGATTCCACCCTTGGCTATTAAATATGATGATCCAAATGCAACTTCAGACTCAGGAAACTGTTCAACTTTGCCAAGAAATGCCGCAATGTTCTAGAAGAAAAAACACTCTTTCGAGAGAAACATTCCCTAAGCATCGACCATGGTCTCTGTTGTTGATGAGATGTTGTATGACATGAATGTTCTTATATTTTTCCTAAAAAATCTGAATATCACTAATATAGTGATTAATCTGTATCCTACGGGAGCTAATCTACAAGGACTTTTACAGTTCCAATGAATTCACTACTTGCAACCAATATTGCTGGATATTGCTGGATCCTAGCATTTAAATATACCTATGGTTCTAATAATTCAGGGTTTACCCAGTACACAGTCTGTATGCATTCTTCTCCGCCACGGCTCACCAGATAAAAATGGAAACTTGTAAACAATGGGAATGTGTCCACGCTGTGCTGGCAATGCTTCTGAGTCTGCAATACAGAAGGCAGGCTGCAGAGAGAGAGAAAACACTGGTGTGCTGCTGCACCTCCTGACGTAACTCACAACGGATCTGGCTATCCTTGTAGCTATCATGAAACAGTCGCCGAAAAAAACCCCAAACTACTTTATCCAGTGATTGCATAGCCTATGCAGCCACACTGCAGCTGAGGTGAGAATCATGCAGATAGTTTGGAAAAAGGTCTCAAACCCATGCTCCTCCAGGCAGGAAAGAGCATTCACTCCTGCTCAGCCTAGCAGGCTCAGAGCTTTCCTGAAACACAGAGGTTAAATTTGCCACTCCAAACAGTCCCACCCAAGAGACTGCCCTGAGGATTTTTACAGGGAAAGGATTTAATTAGAATGTGATTTTCATGGTACAATGCAATATTTGGTACAACAGGAACGCCAAAATATACGCTTTGTGATTCGTGGTGCAGGTTTGCTTAGGGAACTTTTAAGATGATCCCTAAATAGAGAAAGGGCAAAGGCACCAGAGAGGAGGAGAGGCTTTGCTGAGCAGGTTTGAATGTCATAAATGCACAGTTATGGCTTAGTAATTGTATCACAGTTGACAGATGCTGCAGCAGTCACCTGACTAGAACATGACCTCATATTTAGGCTCTCTCCCCTCCTCCCCCAGTGATGAGGGCAGCGCTGGCACTTAAATAAGCAGAAGGCATTTCCAGAAGGCTAGTTTGTAAGTTACTTAAAGGAGAAGCCTGAATTTTGGCACAGAGATATACTTTGTACAGACTATTAAGCATCTGCTCAACAGTGGCAGTGAAGCAAAACTCTTTATCTCCCCTTGGGAAGTGCACTGCAGTTGCTATTAGGGTAAAAATATTGAATTCCAAATCACATGAGCTTAGATCATCCCTTCACAAGGAAAAACCTGCTGGAGGGACAGTAGAGGGAAGAAATGCCTCCATGATCAATCACAGGATTACCCTGAAGACAGTGGAGCTGCTGCAAGCTCGGATATCCTCCAGGGATCTGTGAGAGATGATGTAGCCACAAGGTTCTCTGCTCTACCACTGCCCCACCACTGCCCCACCACTGCCCCAAAAACCACTCTGGATGCTCTGGCAGGGTGATTTTGCAGGAAAACGGAACGGCCAGGAAGAATATATAATTTTATAGAGATTTTCCAGGGGTACTAAGTGTCCTCCTAAGCCCATCCACTCCTTTTTGTGTTGATTTTGGATCATGCAATTCCCAGAAGGGTCCTGGGAAGAAGATATGGTATGATGCTCTCTAAACAGTTGAACACCACTTCAGCATGAAGGGGAATCCCACCTTGGAAATTTCCAAAGGTGTAGCTGGCCCCATGGGGATAATTTTCTATCATAACAGTGTTACCAAAGCTAAGGCTGGCTGAGAGGCAAAAGACCTAAATTAAAATCCCAGCTATGGCACTGACCCCCATCACAAGTTACACCAATGACGCCAGAGTTCTAAAAGTGCAGAGATTTTTGTATATTTTAGAGTTTTCTCACTAATGCATCTGCAGTTTGCAGCTACTTATGGACTACAGAGCTGCAACTTTTCAATACAGCTTCATTGTTGTTTAAAAGATAAAAAGTAAGAATTTTCTGTACAACTACTTGTCTCTAAACCTTCTTTTCTTTAGTCTGATGTTTATCTTCTCTTTGGATTGAAACGTGGCACAGTTATTGTCATCTACCAGTTGCAGTGGTAATGCTTTGGAGGTGTAAGATCCCAGTTAGCCTTGTTAATGTTGACAGCATATCAGAACTGGCTGGGATTTCTCTGCTTTTGATACATAGAGTCTCAATCACATTTGGGTTTCAGCTCCATGACAGCTTTTGTTTGAATAGTTCTGGCTACATGCAGCAGTGATTATTTTGATTATCCCAGCTGAAGCATGAGCACTTCCAGAAGGGCCAGTAGCTCAGTGGCCTGCTGCTTGTGCCCTGCTTTGTTGCTGACCTGTAACAGAACTTGGCTGAACAGCTTCATATGATTTTCTTTAATGAAAGAAAACAAAAACTGAAAATTGAGTGACAAGAGGAGCTCTGTGTGTGTGTGTGTTACACGTGTGTTAGCTATTATTGCTTGACCATAAGCAAGAGTCTTCTAGTCCTTCGGAGCATGCTTGAGTGGCTGAGCCTGCGTCCCAGCAAGTGCAGTGACTCTCCCCCATGGCACTTGAGACCAGCTCCAGGTGCTGGCCCAGCCCCGCCAAAGGCACAGGCTGTCACACCCGAGGCTCTGGGTTGCATTCAACCAGCAGCTTTCCCGCAGGAAAAGGAGCTCGCCCCGCGGTGCCGCAGGGATACCAGCCCAGCTCCCGCAGCTCCCTCCTCGCGCAGTGGCCATGTTCCTTGCCCCCCCCCCACAGCGCCATCTTGTGGTTCCTGAGGGCTGTTGGCAGGAGAAGGACAGACGAGGCACCGCCAGCCCTGGAGCGGGGCCGGCTGAGGACGCCGGTGTCTTTCTTGTCATGGAGAGAAATAAAAGCATTTCAAAGTGTTGTAGGGCCGCCTGCTTCTCCGCACAGTGAGGGAGCAGCAGCAGCTTCCCTAGCCCCGCTGTGATACTTCCCAGTGCTGGGTGGAAATGGGGATTTTGGAGTGTCTCAATCAGCCTCAGCTCCTTCCCAGCGTATCAGAAGGTTTCCACCTTCCCCCTGGGAACCACATCGGCAGCAAAGAACTGCTGCTTATACTATAACGCACCAGTTGCCGAACATGTAAAAAAGCAGGGTAATAAATACACACTACTAGTGTTCAGGCTGGGCCTGCACCCAACTCCTTGCACATGAAAGACAGAGCTCCCAGCGTTTCACCAAGATTTAAAATCCTCAGGCACCTTATTTGACCTAGCCTAGTCTGTGAGAATGTTTTCTGATAAAATGTTGAATTGTAAGTGATTATGTGGGAAAAAACAATCTGGTGACCAGCTCCATCATTCCTCAAATGCTGGTGGCGGTCGGTGGTGTCACCCCCAGGCTGGTGGAGAAAGGTGATTTACCCCTGTTTTCAATGGGCTTTCCCCTGTGCCAGGCTACACCAACACTCAGCAGGCACAGAGAGGCTTGGGAAACATGGGAGAGAAAGCTCCTGTGCCTTCTGAGGGCTTACATAGCCTTTGGAGCTGGATTTGATTTGAATGAGACTGCCCTGGAATAGGGTAGATAGCGAAGTGGGATCAGTCACAGTTTCAGGTATTGACCTGTTTGTCACAGCATCATCCTTTGGGGAGTCTCACTTTATCCACCTTCTTGCTAAAGCTTTCCAAAAAGAGTTATTTAAGCCTTTTTGCAGTCTGCTGTCCTATGTCATTGAATGAAAAGTTTTCAGAGACAGTTCGTATTCACTGTGTTACAAACATTGATCAAAACATATAGGTTTCTACAGGTTTATGCCGTACACTTAGGTGCCAGTAAACATTTGAAAATCTAGCTTTTATTGTTTAGCTCTTTTTTTTTCTTAATTTTCTTAGCACTGGTAAATCAAGTTGTTATCAAATTATTGTTGTTATTTAGTAAAATGCTGATAGGGTGAAAGCAACAAACAATCTATCACATACTCTGTGGCATTCACTTGACATTTTTAACTACCACCAAAAGTAGTTAAAAATCACTTTTAGGAGGTAAAGCAGTACAAGGTCTCTGTGTGAACCCCACCTAAGCTATGAACATTCACGAGTGAAGAAAGCTTATTTTCATAAGTTTACAGTAAGCCTATGTGGCTTGAATGTAGACCACCCATGGTTTATATCACTTACACAACAGGCCCTCCCTAGCCAGTGTAGGTAAGAAACTTAATCTATTGGTGAATGGCCTCAGGATATGCCCCCTTATAAATGTTACATGTCACTGTAACCAAAATTTTATTCTGGGAGTAGATTAAATGATAGTATCATTGACAATTTGTCTAGGGCTTTACAATTTTCTCTTTTGACTTGAACTGAGACTTAAATTAAGCTTCTAAACTCTGCTTTTCTGCTCACAATCTGCCTAATCAAAGAAGGAGATCCTTCTGAACATTTCAATGCCCGAGTTGCTGGTAGGAGTCCCTGATAGATTTCTCTTTTAAATTTAGCATAGCCCAGAATAGTAACTCTTACATAACATATACACAGCAAATATGGGACTTGCTATAATTTCAGTGAGAGACTGCAGATTTCCTGCAGAGTAACTGAGGCAGACAGCATTAGAGTCATGCCTCATATAAAAAGTTTGAGTAAATAAGCTTATTCTTACAAAGCAAGGGATAATATTTCTTGTAGGTATCAGAATATAGTTGACAACCAAATGGACTGTGACAGGTCCTAGTTCCTCTCATGTGTCTGTGTGTGGCATTGTGGCCTCTGATTACCTCAAAACATACAGATGTGTCACACTCCCTGTTCCTGAGGATAAAGAGAGACAGCAAGGCAAGAATTTGCACTCCATTGTTCATAGGCCATTTGAGCTACTGAGGAAGGGGAGTTCTTAGACAAATACAATCTCTGCTTATTTGCAGCTAGCTAGCTAGCTGTGGAGCATACACTCCTCCCCGCAGCCCATGTTGCAGATGGGAGATCTTGAAGGAGCAAAGAACATGAACTAGACCTTTCTGGCATAGTATGTTTGCCAGGTGATCTAGCAGAAGACATTAAATAGACCTTCAATCAATTTTCACCTCCTCCTGCCTTTTGTTTTCCATAGCCTGACACCTTCCCTAACAGTGAACTGCGGAGCAGTTGCAGAGCTGGCACACTGTATGTGTGTCACAGCTGGAGCTTGATCCCTGCCATGTTCCAGGGATGAATCTGTGAAATACTGCATCTTCTGAGTGCTCTCTCTCTCTGTTGCAAGCTGACAGCCTTTGCGGACTGTAGCTTACAGAACTGGGTAGGAATCAACTGTTCCAGTAGGAAGGACACCTGGGTACTGCAATGTATGGAGTTACTCCAGTGGTGTTGTACTGGAGGATGTAGCAAGGACTTTCACTGTGCTTAGTAAGATAGTTGTAGTCATGTGGACTCTTGGACAGGATTTCATTTCACTGAGATCCACTGATACAATGTCCTAGAACTTCTGGCACCTTGCATACAGAGTACAGGCTGGACAGTATCTGTCCTTTGTCACTTGATGAGATTATTTACACAGAGGAATTTGCTTAGCTAAGAAACTCGGATGGAAACAGACACATGTCAAATAACCAATTTCCCATCATACTCAGAGGCCTGTGGGGATCAATCATACTGACCTATAGTCCCTGCTATTTCCTGAATTGCTTTGAAAATGGGAAACCTAGAAGGAAGGGCATTAAGTCATTATTAGATTAGCCTTGATTTTGCAGTTGCCTTGAGAACTTTTGATCTGATGATAAGTATCCCCTCTGCTGATTTGGTAAGGTACCCTTTTCTTGTAGGTATAAATGATGATGCAGACAAGGCAGTGGGGTCTCAAAACCAGTTCATTACACAGAGGAATTGTATCAGTTTCATTAAAAAGATGATGTTGCACCAGTTTACCTCGGTGTCTCTTTAAGCCTTGCTTATCCTGGTGAAGTTTCCACCAAACTAGTACAGAGCATGCACATACACACACAGCTGCACTGGTTGAACTGAAGAAGTGTGATGCCTGTTATGAGTATCTGAAAGGCTTACTACAGTTCAGGCTGTAGCTGCATGTTTTTAACAGTGAAGGATAGTTGACTACTGGGTGCACTGAATTCCCAGTTGTTCATAGGCTCTGTGACAAGAAAGGATGTCTTCCTAGACGTCCGACTACTTTCCAGAGGAGAGCCATGGGCTTTAAATAGGAATTCATGGTTTATTTTCTTTGGTCAGTCCTTTGGAAGAAGTCAGACTAGAGGATCATAATTGATATAGCTGAATTTAAACTCCTTGAATCTGAGATTTTGTATCCCTAATGACAACAGGGGAGTGGTGCTATTGACCTTACTGGGATTTTAATCTGCATGTGTCCATGGAATACTGCTATTCATCTGCTGGTGGGAAGGCTCCAGCAGAAACCCCATCATACCAGTCTTTGGCAGCCTGAGTCTTATTTTGGAAAACTGTAGAAAGCCAATGATTTAGGATATAAATTAGCAATAAACAGTATAATCCCAATGTAGAGGTTTAATTTAAAATAAAGAGAACTTGATCAAAAGGGTTAGATTAGAAGCAGAACTCATAAATAGTCATGTGGAAGACATTTAAATAATACAAATGCCTTTTATGAGTACAGAATTCAATAAATATTTAAATAAAATACTTGTGTTGAGGGTTTTGCCAGAAAACCCTTGAAGAATTCTTGGTTTAATCAGGTTCTTGCTGGTGCTATAAATCTGCCCTTAAATACAGTTTCAGATCTCTCACATGTCTTGACAGGGGCCAGATAAACATCTTGGGGTACTCTTGCTGCATTAAGGTCACCTTTACACGGAGAGACATCACAATGCTCTACTTAGCAGCATCAGAACAAATGATGCATAAATCTTGAGTTCTTCAGGAGTTATTTTCACCCTCTCTGTATGAGAAGAAAAGCAAGTAGTTCCTTTAATCCTGTGTGGCTTCTGTATTAAAATAAGCCTTGATACTAATCCCTGGCTATCTGGATTTAAACTGACATATATCCTACAGCTTCAAATACCAGAACATTTGAGTTACCAATGTGACCTTAAACCCAGAGCATTTATGCGCTTAATCACACCAAAGGACAGAGAAGTCATTATCCTCGCAGTGTTTCCTTAATACTGCATTGGGTTCCTTCAAAAACCCAGGCAGTTTTCCTCACATTATTTCCTTTTGATGCAGTGTTTGCATTGTTCCCCACTGTGACTCGAGAAAACATGATGAGCAAGGTAAATGTCACAGAGTGACACATCAAGGCTGTGTTGCATCTTGCATAAATTCAGCTACACAACTTACAAACTGGAGTTTGCACTGAACTTTCACAAAAGGCAGGTGGCTTCACTTGTACGTGAGCGGATTTTCTCCCTGACAGAAACATAGGGATTCCTAGGCCCTGATCCTAATGCAGTCATCAAGCTTGACCAAAAAGAAATATTAGTAAATGATAAAGCATCCATTGTTCTGTTTCTTATTAATATATATGTGATGGTAATTTATCAGGACAATACTCCTGTACTGATAACTTCAGCAATGTCACTTCCTTGATGTACTGTGCACATTATGTTACATAAATAAGCCACCAACTTCTATCTCCTTGTGTCCCTGAAAGTGCAGAGGTACTGCTTAAGATGCTGCTGCTCTTTTTGAGTGTAAATGACCAAACTAAGCTTTGCCTTCTATGCTGCTCTGGGTACAGGGTGAATGCTGAACAGAGCCAGAGCCGCTATGCTGGGACTTGGAAGTTGTTTGTGACTGCCAAGGCTCAGCACTGAAAACTGGTGCTGGCAAAGGCATTCACGACATGAAGTCCATGCTTTATAGGCCTCACAAGTGAACTCCACTGGAGTCAACCAGTGAGAAAGAGGACAGAGCTGAAGCTAATGAAGGGATGACAC